GGGGGGGGTCTAGTGAAGGCAAAGCTTTTGCATTGCTGGGACCCTGGCAGTGAGTTTTGGCATCTCCAGAGCTCTCTTAAACTGATGCAAAGCCACTGAAATCAGTAGGACTCTGCTGTGTTTCACTACGTGAGATCTGGCCCATAATAAATAAATTGGAATGCTTTCATTTAGCTCTTTGAAGGGGAGAAATAGCAGAGTTTTATGGGGCTTTTTTGTTTGTTTTAAAACCTCTTCTCTGCAGTATTGGAAACCAACTCACACTGAGAGTAAGCTTGAGAACTAGATAGAGGAAATGGGCTGGAGAAAGTTAGTCTGATTTATCCTTTTTTGGTGGTTTAATCTGAGGAGTGATTGGCCAGTGAAAGGCTAATGTCAGTGAGTGAAAAGGGGACATGAGTTTTAGGACTGCAAGTTGCTCCCTGAAGATAGTTACTGTCTGAAGGAGACTAAGGTCTGAGGCCCAAGTTTTGTTATAACTGTTTCTGCTTTGATGAGCTTGTTGACTAAATGGGTCAGGATGTTGTTTGTTTGTTTTAGGGCTTTTGTTAATGCAGGATAACCCTGTTAAATCTCATTTTGCTGTTTTGCAGTCTTTATAGCACTCTTAATAAATCTAGAGGCCTTAACATACTTAGAAAAAAGTTTAGTGTCCATGAGCAGTTGGCAAGTCTCATATCATTAAGACACGTGTCCTACGCTACTGGTTACATTGTAGTGGGGGGTGAGCTCAGAACCTCCTTGGACTGGCCTCCATACAGTGAGAGACAGATTCTCCTTATTCACAGAGGCAGCTAAGGAGCACTCTGATAAAATGAACACACAGAGATGAGAATGAAAGTCAGTCTCCTGGGTCCTCCTGAACTGTGCTAACCACAGCACCAGACTTTCCCTCTGCTCTCATTGTGCAGGGAATGCCACATTTAATTACCATTCTGCTGTGTTTTGTGAGAATGACTGAATGAAGCTAACTGTGAATCTGTACTTTACACTCCCTTCTCCTCTTTGCTTGCTTGCTAATTCATAAGGCTCAGGCAGTGGTAGTAGGTCTTTTGATAAAATTACCTTTCTTAGGATTTTTTTTTCTACTTTGAAAGTATCATTTCTTAAAATAAAGGCACTTAACTAAGTTTCAGGCCAGAAGGGACTATCGAGTTTTCTAGTGTGCTCTGTATAACAATCGTGAACAGTGCAACCTCTAACTGAAACTGCAGAGGGATTAATCGAAGGTTTTGTGTTCTTTACTGCCAGTGGAAATTTATCCATGAGACTGAGGTTAATATCACAGCTTTGCCAAGAGAACTGTCAGATTTCTGATCATATGTGGCTGTGGGTTTATGTTTCATCTGTAAAAGAGCATAGCTCTGGGCTGGGGCCTTCACAGGAAAGAATATAGCTTATTGAACTGTCATCTTTGGCCTCTTCCTAGCCAGGTTCTGACTTGGCTCAGCCCTGAAATTCTGCATAGGCTGATGACTTCTCTGCGGGACTGGAGAAGTCACAAGACTTAGTGCAGATCATCAGAAATTTGTCTGTTTCTGCTGTAAGCCTTAAAAAACAATAACAAACATAACCACTGCCACCCTAAGCCTCAAAAAATAAAAGTTTCCAACAAGAGCACAGCGTAAAAGATGATTAGCACACCGATCTGACTTGCTGGCCAGTCTTAGTATACAGGTCTCTGTAAAAGAAAAAAAATGGTATCCCTGTCCTATCAGAGGCTAGGTGTGCCAGCTTGTTTTAGTAGATGTTCAGGTTTTGTGTTTTTTTTCTGAAGCAATAAGCAGGGCTCCTCCAGATAGAGCAGTGGGCTTCTGTTTGGATGAGATTTTCTATTTTCAGCTCCACCACTGTTATACAGTATAAATCCAGGCAGTTCTTTGTCTCTTTGCTTCTATCAATCCTTTATCTAACAGATTTGTACAATTCTGGGGCAAGATCCATCTCTTTCTTATTTTTCTTTCTTCTTCTTCTTCTTCTTCTTCTTCTTTTTTAATTTATGTAGCTCCTTGGATAAGGGATCTGTATTTTTGTGCGAGACCTTCAGGTACTACATGGAAACAAGAAGCCAGTAATCTTAGGTCTTCTTTTAATCCAGTGTGAGCAGGGATGTCATGGGGATCAGAACTCTAGGAACTGGTAATATGGAAATAACTGGTGAAGATCACTGTGGTTGTTAATAAGTGTGGACTGTCCTTCTGGGAAAGAGACTGTTCAGCTCTCCCTTCTGGTGTGCAGGGTGAGTCTGCAGGCAGAAGGCCACTGGTGCAGTGGCACTCTAGTACCTTGGACAGCACTGCTGTCCCAAAAGGGTCTTTCCCAGGGTCCCTTCTCCTGCAAGAAGATCAGATCTGCATTATGGGATCCCTGCCATATGAACAACCCCGTGGGATGCAGTGAGAATGGCAGGACAGCCAGCTCCCTGCAAGACAGTTACAGTCCTTTTCCCAGTTGCAGCAAAGTTGGGTAGAACAGCTCCAGAAAGTTCACTGAGTATGTAGAGGAAGATTCATCAAACCACATTTGATTCAGTTCTAGACCTAAGGCACAACCACTAAAGTACTTTACTAATGACATGGCATAAGGAATGACTCTTCCCTAGCCTCATGTGTGTGAACATGTTGCTAGGAGAGACCCAGGAATCTGCAAAAGGGAAAAGCGACATTCCTTTTGTGACACCCCAGTCCACACACTGACACTCCCAAAGAAGTAAAATAGGGCTTTAGGTGGGGATAGATCTTTGGAATAGCACAAGTGTAACCTGCAGCAAAGACGGATCTCTGTAAAGAACTGGGTGTATCTGACAGCCACCTGATGATGTAGTCTGCTTGCAGCAAGCATCTCCTTAAGAAAGACCTTGCAGCATCAGAGAAGTCTTGGAGGCTGACAAAGGTAGGAAGGCATAGAAGATTTCCAGTGGAGAGTGTGTTGGAAGGTTTAGGTAAGCAGGAGGGAGCTGCTGGGCTCAAAAAAGCTAGAACATGGTTCAAATTGAAAATTTTTGAGAAGTGGGATTGACAGAGGAAAACTCACTAGAGGCTGAGCTGTGGGATGCTACTCTGGGCTGTGTGCACTTGTTATGTGTGTCTAGTGTAGTACACTGAAAGCCTTACCAGAACATACATGTTTGCATTACCTTTATGTTGCCACTCCTCAAGTGAGCTTCCCTTATCTCCAGGGATGTTCAGATACCATCTGGTATCCTATGGCAGCTGTAGAAGAACTATTGTCTTTTAAGGAACAGTCTGTCTTCTGTTAAAGCTGGGCTGGAGTTAAGAAACTGTTTTCTCACTTCTATTTCAGCTTCCAGGCATGCTTCTTTCACAGCTAGGAGCTGTGAAAGACTTCGAAGCCAGTGTATGGTGCTAGAGGGAGGTGTCTGGTGGGAGTGGCATGAAGTCAGTATTCTCTCTGCTCCCCTTCTATGGAAAATTCATGACTTAGAGTTGCAGTAACATGTGTTTTGAGTGAATTTTACCAATAGCACTCAAAT